TTCATTTCAGTATTTCCTTTAGATGACTATTTCGGTATATAGTACATTTAAGTTATTGTGTAAGGGATATTAATCAGAACCTTTTATTTCGCTTCCGCATTTATATTCTTTATATATATTTCTTTTTTAAATTTTCGGGACCGTTATACATTGTTTATAAAAAGATTTCAAGTTCTTTTAATAGTGATTGAAGGAAAAAACTTCATTAACAACATTGATCATTGTCCTACGCTTGCTCTTGATAGAAAATCAAGTTATATGCTTACTCTTGGTTTATCAAAAAATCAAATTCTGCCATGTTAATTGCAAAGAATTTATCAGTTGGAACTTTAAGCTTTTGTTTTTTTTTTTGGGGGTGGGGGGAAGAGGAACACCCTTTTTAAAAGGAGAAATAACAGTAATCTACTACCTTTAACATTTACATCACTAATTGTTATTATAAAAAAATTTCTACTCATTTCTAGCAGGTTAATTAAATTCAAAGGAAAGCAAGGTCAGTAACTAAAATTTACCACCTCTGTCAAAAATTAACTTCTGTCCTTTCTTGGATAGGTGCACCTAACCTTGTAATATGATGAGCAATTGAGTTTGATCCTTGGTATACAGCATTTTGATCGTTTGCGTATTACCTTGTCTCTTCACTTTTTTGCTTTATATCCTAATTTTCTAAAATTCACTTTTAAAACTTTTTTTTTTTTTTTTTTGTTTAAATATTTGAAGTATATAATATACTCTAATAATTTGCGATAAAATCAATTTACTATTGAGTAAATATTGACAGCCTAACAACTGAAAAAAATAATAAAAAAAAAAAGAATCATATGTATTGCGTACGTAAATTCATTGATATAGTAAATAAAACTTTTGTTAAAAATTCAGTCTATTTAGAGTATGAACTTTTTATTTGAGTCATCTAAATTACCAACTAACCGAAATTAATTATGTATTTTTTATTTTTTTGATTGAGTACATCTCTACCTGCTTAATCTTATTAATAAACAAATAATCAAATCTAACCCATAGTTTATCCCATTTTAACAATTTAACTTATGCAAATAAAAAACTCAATACACACAAAATGAAAAAAAAGAAAGGAATTAAAAGGACCGTAAAGCTGAAAATTAACATAAGATTTGGATATATGATAATATGTTGCAAAGTGAAATAAATTGCCTTTACAATCACAAACCAAAGACAACAAATTAAAGACTAAAGACTCAATATTGCATCCTAAGTTTATTGTGTGTGTGTATGAACCCTATAATGCCAATAAGCCACAAAAAAAGTGGCAAAAGTAAACAAGAATATTAAAGACATCTTCCTTCAATTCCATCTTCAACTCCAGCTAACTTCTATAAAACATCAACTGTACACCAATATCCCCTGTAAGCCTGTCTCTGCTACAACTTGTCGGCTATTCTCCCAAGAGCATCAGCGAGCTTATTAAGAACCGCAACCAAGCTATCAGCATGATCTTTCCGCTGCTCCCTGTCCAATTGAAGGTTGTTGTTCTGAGCTTCAAGTTGAGCGGTTAAAATTTTCCCATTCCTTTCCAAGATGTCAATCAATTGGGACTGCAGGTTGCTCATTTCCTCGTCTCCATCTGTTGCCAATCGCTTCCGTTTCCTTTGTTCTTGAGAAGTAGAGCCTATTTCGGGAACTGATGCTGGTTGTTTATCATCGACAGCACCTGCAAGCCAAATGATTGTTTAAACAAGATATTACATTACTATTAATAAAGTCAAGGCTTCATTTGGTATATGAATTTTTTTTTTTTTGTTTTCGTTTTCTAAATGAAAATATGTATATGCAAGTTTTTAAGTCATGGAAAGTACCTAAGATTTGGACATTTGTAAAATAATTAAATCATAAAAGAGTACTTTTTAGAAAATACTAAAAAAATAATTTTAAAAATTTTCTAATTTTATTATTAATCCCAATATTATTCGTTTATTTTAAACTGGTTTTGTATAGTTTGCGGATAAAACATAAGTAAATTGAGAAAACAAAAACTGAAAATATTTAAATGCTAAGTGATCAAACACATGATACATAAAGGTCCACAAACCAGAGTCTTGACACTTCCTTTCCCTCAATTCTACAAGAGAGTAGCAAAATTTGTTTTGTATGACAAATACACGCTGACATGGCATCCCTTATCAGTAATAATTTGACAAAAAGTTAAGGTGGCCCAATAAAATTCAGTATATGAGTCAAATAAGTTATTAGTAATTAGTGGAAAGAAATACTTAACCAGCATATACTTGTTCTCAGAGTTATATTCAGGAGAAATTCAAGTGAAAGGCAAACAAAGGCCAGTAGCCAACACCAAGGTTAAAACTAAAAACTCATCTTGAATTTTCTTACTTAGATAACTAAGAAATAGTTTATTTCTAACCTTTGTGTTATTGATTCTTTTGTTTGGATAAAAAATGGGAAAGAAAATGGTTTCCTTTAAAACATCTACTTCTCACATTCTCCAAAAATAAAATTTGTTTAATGATAAATTTTCAATTTTATTCTCAAATGTAAAATTTTTTATTTAGGCAACAAAGCATATATTCATCCTGATCAATCATTTATTTCTTTTAGCACAACAAAGAAACACAAAAAATTTGTAATAATCCCAACATAGATAGGACTTTTTTGCTTGCTTTTCTTTTTTAAAAAACTCTCTTTCCTTTCCCACTTTTCCTTACTTTTACCCTTAACCTTTACTTATTCTCATCCAAACACAAAGTAAAAAATGTCTCATAATTTCATGAAACAAACAGTCTTAAGGCATATTAAGAGCAGAGCAAATATCAGATTTGGAATGATTGAGAGAAAAATCAAGTCAAACAATCCTTCATGGTTATAATTGCAAATTTCTCTCACAATAACAATAAAAGACTTCAAGATACCAACAGTTCAAATCCAAAGTCAGGATAATCACCATTATTGTGACCATTGACATAAACCACCATCAAAGTAACTTCTAGTTATGCATAGCTGAAAACCAGTAACTTCATACCAGGAGAGAGAAGCCCACAGAAAGCAAAATAAATTCCTGCTGCTATTTCAAGGAGGAAGAAGAAGAAGATTACCTTGACCTGGACATGCTCCTAAAGGAGATTGCTGGTACTGCTTCTCTACAATAATGATTACAGAAAGAAGAATAAGAACAGGAAGAAAAATCAGTTGGATTCTAATTTGCATTATCTCTTCCTCATTCTAACTTTAGAGAAAAGATTAAATCCCAACTCGAATTCTGACTGGGGTAAAAGAAAAGACTAACAAAAAAAGCAGGAAAAAAAAATACTTTTTTAAATAAAAAAATTAATTTGGAAAACAACGAGAGACAAGTATTCAACACCTGTTCATCAAAATTCCATCTTTCAATTTCGATTGGATACCTGAAACAGAAATAGGAACAGGAGCTGCAACGGGCTTAGCAGCATCCTTATCCGGGCTCCCAGTCGCCTCTTCCTGCTCGAAATCCGAGAACAGGCCGTCCTCAGCTGCTGCACTCCGTCCGCTATCAAACACCGCTTCGGCCTCCTCCGCTACCCCCGACGCAGCCGGCGCCGGGGCCAGTGCGAGAGCTAGTCCCGGCGTGGTCACCGCGGTGCCGCCGTCCAGAATATCATAAACCTCTTTGTCGAAAAACCCTGGCAATTTCCTTTCTCTCCTCAAATCGTTTCTCATCACCCAAAACGACTCCGTTTCCTCCTTTATCTGAGACTCCCATTCCTTGATTTTTTTGAAATCGCCGGCTAAATTGCTCCACCTTTTCCGGCACTGAACAGGACCTCGGTTTACTCCATGGCGCTTGCAGTAAGATGAGACCGATGCCCACTTAGGCTCCACCTGCCCCGAGCCGAACGCCATGCCAGCTGTCCGTCCCCTTCGAACGCGGTTCTCTGCAACTCTCTTGCCTTGTATGAGAACGAGGATTTCTTGTCTCGTCCATCGAGGGAGTCTCGGAGCTCTGCTGCCGTCATCTCCGCCGTCAGTCGACGCCGGACGACCCTCTACGCCGTTAGTAACGCCGTCAACGGGGTTTGAAACTAGACTCAACTGCTCAAGAGCCATCAAAACCAGAAAAAGAAAAGGAAACAAATCTTCTTTTTTTTTTTTTTTTTTTACCGATATTCTCAACGCACGTGAGTAAACGTGTGAGGAAGTAACGGCGTTTTGGGAGAGAATCCGTTACGGCGTTTTGAGAAGAGGGTCATGACTCACTCATCTCATCCTTAGGAAAGAGAGAGAAGGGACAGCAGGGAAGGGGAGAGAGAGAGAAGTGAGAAGGGGAAGAAATTTAGGGGTTGTTGAAATTGAAAATTAGGGTTTTTTATTATTTAATTTTTGGTTAGGGGCTGTTTGTTTATCCTTTTTTACTGGTAAAACTATTGACCCTTAATAAGGATTATTTTTGTATTTGGTCCAAATGAGTATTAATCAAATGAGATTTGGGATCATAACTTTAAATTTCTTATTATTATTAAATAATGGGATTTGTTGCTTTTTCTGGTGAGGTTCCCTTTCCTTTTGTTTTACACTCAATTTCTCTCAAGGGCACTTAATTTTTTCTTTTTAAAGTTTTTGTCATGTCACTCCATATAAGCCAATTTTTGATTTAGAATCTCAAATAACAAGATTACTTGTTTGCTTATCCACATTAAATTGTAATTAAATTAGAATATGTTTATTGTTTTTTCCTTAAAATATGTCAAATTGAAATTATGAACAACTAAAAAGTTAATATGAGAAGTTATTTTCTATTTGTTGTTTTATCTTCTTTTTTAATCGTAATTGAACAAAATATTTATTATTTGAAATGTTTACTAAAAGAGTAAAATTTTTTTAAACTTTATCAAACTGTCACGAGACACACTCATTAACTATTCTTATTTCTTTTTATACGGGTGTAAATATAAATAATATTAGTTTTGGCTTTATTTGGAAATAATCTTTTCCTAAAAAAAAACTTTAAAAGCTTCTTCGGTAACCTTTTTCGAAAAAATAATTTATTGATCATACAAATTACGCAGCCTTTATATTAAGATATAATTTTAATTGATCAAATATCACAAGATGAATTTCACATTTTATATTAATAGTTATCATCAATCTTAAGCACAATACTCAACAATGATAAATTTGAAGCAAGAGTTTCTTCACGGTGACACATTTAAAGTTACATTTTCATGATATTATCTCTATATATTTATTAGTTTTTAGTTAAATTTAAAGAAGTTATGAGTGGAATTAGAAACTTTATCAATATAGTTTGTATGATATATATGAAATGATTGCAACTACTTGTCAATTGTTCCTTATAGTTGCTGTTAGCAATTACTCTTTATAATTATAGTTGAAAATTAGTGTTTGTAATTGTTATTTATAATTGTCATTTCGAATTAATAATTATAATTATTTGGTGAATACATTATCAACTAACAGTTATAACTCTTGATGTAAATATATAAATAGAGGCATTGCGTCTCTATTCTCAGCAGTTCTCCTTTAAAAAAATGTACTACTATATTGAATTACTTGAGTGTGTTAGAACCAAAAAGGTACTTTATTTTCATTACGACATCTTAAAGAGAGCACCAATAGGTGGCGGTTTGTTTTTCATTATCATTAATTTTCTGTATGTGTTTGGACTTGATGTGCATTATGATATCTACATTGTTTTAAATCATGTTAGGATTTTAAAATTTGGTATCATAATATTAGGTTTTTGCCTCTATCTTGATTTGTGTTTATTGAACTTCCATTTCATATTCAGTAAAGTTGTAATGAATACCACAATTTTTTGTAAAATTATTTTAATTTTTTTAAATCTAAACTAATATAAGAAACATTGAGGAATTGATTTTTTTTTTTTTGTAAGTTTGCATTTTAAAATGACACTTTTGATTTCCAATGCATGGACCTGCAACAAGGTTAGAAATATGATTTTGTAGGTTCAATTAGGTCAAGAAAGACTCGGTTGGAGAATGAAGATTATGAAAACAATACATTGTTTTCATTTTGGTAGGAAAATGATATTTCATTTGTGTTGGCCCTAATTATATGGCAACCCAAGAAAGAAGGTGAATTGGATTTTTTTGGATATTTTACATGTAACACCTCGTTATGTG